CGTCGGGGCTTAGTTTGGCGAAATAGGGCAGGCTGATAAGACATTTGTGACCTAATTCGATAGCGTAGAATCTCTTCTGTTAGAATGAATGGTTTTTTTCGGATTACAGTGTGCGTCTTCAAAAAATATTTGTCGGAAGTGAGAGTGTGTGTGACAGGTTACGACGTAGTTTCTTTTCGGGTCGTATCTTTGTGAAATTGGGCCCGCTGATAAGAATTTTTCTATTTAATTCGGTAGACTGGAATCTTAGTTAATAGAGTCAGTGGTTTATTTTCGATTTTCTCCTTTTTTTCGAATCATAATGCCGGTTGTGGCATTGTGTGTAACAAGCTATTGTGTTGTTTCTCGTCAGCTCTTATTGTTTTGAAATATGGACTGCTGATAGGAATGTTTCCATTTAGTATGTTAGGATAGTCTCTTCCCTAATAGGATCAATTGTTTTTTTCCGATTCGGAACGTTCCTTTTCGGAAAGTAGTAACGGAAGTGCAAGTATTACTTCATTTTAGCGAATAATCGTGCATGTTTAGGACTCACATATTTCGGAGACTGAACGTTATAGCTCAATTTCTATTACTTATTCCTGTTGGGGATTGTATGCTCTATAAAACTTACGCAGTGCTTATTTCATACTATAAATGCTATCATCTCGCGTGCAGTGTTGCTTATCGATCGATCAAATTTCCAGTAAGTTGCATGCAAAATGTTAGTGACAAGAATCTTGTCATGTATCATGCAATGTCGTTTATTATTCAGTCACTTGAATGTTGCTGAGAAAAATGAGCACTCCAAAACGGAAAAGTATCGTAAATATGTTCGAAATGGCGTTAAAGAAAGGTAATTATTTCCATGGGAATGAAATATTACCGGATTTTGAAACTCGTTGGAAAACCACATTAAAACAAAGAAAATCCATATCGACGCATTTTCCAAATCGTGTTGGTATGCCAACTATCTATCCGAAATCCAACGCTGGGAAATATTTCGTAGAATTTGCGAGCTCTTCAACGGTACACGGGTTGAATCACTTGGTAGCACCGAATAGACACCCTATTGAGATGTAAGTAAGGACTACAATTGGAATGACAAAATGACAGAATTATAATAATTTATGAACCATCTTGCAAGATTCCTAGCAGTTCTGTTCATCTTTGGAGCTTTATTATGCTTGATCTTCCTGTCATTCCTTTTCTGGGATCGATATCAGAATAACGCTACAGTTATCGTGGTATATAATGATCAAGATCAATTCCAAATACTGAAACCATCTATATTTATTTGCCCGGTACCAAACATAAATTTAAACAAGATTTCAGACGTATTCAAAAAGTGAGATTCAACCTCCTATAACATAATTCGAGCAAAGAAAAATCTTATTTACCAAATATAGAATAAATAATAAATAATAATCTAATTTATTAAATACTTAGATACAATATCGAACACACATCAGAGGCAGAACAATTCTTCACATTTCTTGGCAGTATCACTTACGAAGACATGGCAGAAACCCCGATCTTCGACAAAGTTCCAGCAAGTAAATGGCTAGAGATCCTTTATGATTTGAAAAAAGATATTTCTCCCAATATCCTGAAGGAAAACGACCCTTACGAAGCTTGGGTAGTGACAGAAAGGGGCTTGTGTTTTGTAACGAGAAACAGCTTTGCAGTCTACGCTACGTTAAGGTTAGTATTTTTTGGTAATATTGTTTCTTTGTTAGGTCAACTCGATGGTATGATAATTAAGGTGATCTTTCATATACTGCAAGCTACTGGAAAAATGACAATTGGACTATCCTTCCCGTGCCAAATAATCCGCCACACTACAATTATAGCGTCGATGGTGCGCAAGAATCTTTGACTGTGGAGCATACGGCTTTGGTACGTATATATTTCCATGTATCTTACCGATGCAAATATAAAATATGTAAAACCAATTAATCAATTAGAATAAAATATTAAAAACCGATTGATGTCTTCCCTATCAGATTACCGCGTGTGATCCCTTTGAACTAATAACACTCGATACTTCTATGAAATGGGTAAAACCAAAGATGCTTCAACGTGCAATCATGTCGATTTCTGCGATCGAAACGAAACCAGACGTCATTCAACTGAGTATTCAGCAAAGAAAGTGTAAATTTTTCAACGATGGTGGTTTAGAAACGTGGCCAGTTTATACGAGAAATATGTGCATCATGGAATGTAGAATGAAAGTGATACAAGATAATTGTAACTGTCGTCCGCATTTTGCTCGAACCATTGGTTGGAAATGTTAAAATTTATATGATGTAACGATGAGTTATTAAACAAGTGTAAATAATATATTTCATATTTTTACAGAAGGTATAAACACATGCGATGCAAATCAACTTCGTTGCATCGGTGGTATAGCAAAGAAACTTTTCTTATACGAATATCCACCCTCTTTTTGCAACTGCGTCCCGAAGTGCAATGTCGTTTCTTATCAAATCAGAGATAAGGAAAAATCCGAACTGTGTGTATCGAACTTGATCCATATTTAAATAGAAACACAAGGAATACAAACGAAAACAGAGTTTTTTCATTATTTTAGGAGCGATATACCGATAAGTTCATCCGTCATAACCTTAATCGTTGAACTTCCACAAATTATCTATTATCGAGCACTGTTGTACGGCTTTAACGATTTTCTAAGTATGTATCCTTAAGTACATAAGGATACTTCCCTAATAAAAGTTTCTGTAAGCAAACAAATTTATTGCAGCCAGTGTTGGAGGGGCAGCAGGATTATTTCTAGGAGCCAGTGTACTATCTTTCGTTGAAATATTCTATTATGGTTCCATACACTTGTGTTTTTGGGTGAAAAAAAGTAAGCAGAGGCGAAATAAAAATAAGCCAATGGATATATCTAAATAACGCGGAGGACGTGTTACGCTCCTTTCATTTTAAAGGAAAGCGTGCATTTTTTCAAAGTGCACGGACATAAAGTATTTAAAAAATATTGTTTATTATAAACAAGTTACCTCTTCTCGACAGGACACGATGTAAAATAAATATCGTTACATACACATACAACTGTACACGCGATATGTCACGACCGCGCAATGATTGTACATTAATTTACAAAGAGAATTAAGAACAAAGTTATGATAAATACTTCTCGTTTTGATTTAATTTCTCGTATCGCGATGATCAATAATAAGACTAGCTAAAAGGACGCTAAAATGTCACTAAACGGAGTTCCAGGTTCCTTTGCTGCTGCTTCGAAAGTTTCCACAAAAGCTTTCCTCTGGGTTTCCTTAGACAACTACCAAAAGAAAGATGATATTATTTTTTCATGAAATTCATATTTTGTGCCTCACGTCGCTTTTATTATAAAATTTGGTACCTTATGATAGAAATCAGAAGCAGCGATGCACAATATCTTTTTATCCTCGTATTCGTATTTGCCAATTCTTGATTGAATATAAGGAAATCTGAATGGAATGTTAAGGAAGCTTCCGAGAAACGAACAAATTAATGAAGAATTATTAGAAATACAGAAGGATACAAAGCTCTTAGCCAATGATTTGTGGATGCGCTAATAAAAAAGCAAGACAAGCACCAGGTTGACATTGTAACTGGCAAACTTTGAATAAAATTTGGCAAACTAAACACGACCCAGTCTTGAAGAAGTTCCATTTGCGCGCAAGTGCACGCTCTTTCGCAAACCTACAAAAAATATTATCCTATTATTTTAAATTGTTTATAACTTGATATTCGACTGTTTTTGTAAAATCGTCGCGCATTTATTTTTCTTTTCATATTGATGATACTACAAACTTTAAAAACAACGGCGGAAAGTAATCGTGGATGGGGTTGTTGCGGCGACAAAAATTCTCCTATAACTTTAGTCAAGATTTCTGACGGTGGAAAGAAATCTCCAAGTACACCGGACAAAACTGTACACAGAAGTTCTACTTCCATAGAGTGCCCTTTCCTGATTTTATCAAAAATTGCAGAAATGCGTTCAATGGATCGAACCAGTGCTTCTGGTTCAACATCCGGTAACGGCTCTTCTGTTTCTGGTTGATTCAATCTATCGGCTGCTTCCGTATACATACACGTCAGTAACAATTGCAACGCGGGCAACGATAACATAGGACTAGGTTGTTTTAAGCGATCGATCGCAACTTTTACTATCTGCTCGGCTACCTTTCCAATCACACTTTTAGTTGCTACGAGTCGCTCGAGTCCCTATAACAATTGTATAAAAACAAAATTACAGGCATACGTATGCTTGAAAACTGGTATTACGCGAATGCGCGTTAATATACCTGTAGAAGCGTTTGATGTAAACTACAAGAAATATTTTGCGACGTAAGTAAAGTAAGAACTAATTCTAAAACAGCTGGTGCCTCCGTATCTGATGGTGCGTTTTCTGCATGCTCGAGTAAAAAAAATACCAGAGCCCATGTCACACCTTGATGCTCTTCGCTTTGATTTAACAAGCTAAAATAGATAAGTAATTAAGTTTGGTAAAAATGACAATATCATAGAAGATACGTGATCAAAATTTCTGTGACTTACTTGTTCAAATCTTGCGCATCCAGATGCTTCTGTATATATTCTATTGCTAATGGATGTATAATATTCATTGTCTCTTCACAATTTGCAAGCACAGCACTTTGCAACAGGTACAACGAGCCATGAAGGGCAGATACCTTTGCAGGTAAGAAGCTCGATTTAAGATTTGCCTCTACTAACCGCTTAACTTTGTCTAATGTCTCAAAATCCTTAAAAACATATAACAGATAATAAAAGATAATATTGTAGCTTTGTTGTAAGCTATAAAAAAGGTTTTGCGATACCTACCAACGGTGTTAGTACCGCGGCTGCTTTGCAAACGGAAACTATTAAATATTGATGTAAAATGACGTTCTCTGTTGGATAAATCCTCGATATTTCTAAACACATGTCCAACATCCACTGATACTGGCCTCTTTCAACGAACAATTCCGATATTGCTAGAATAGACTTGACAATCTCTGTAAGTAATTGTATAGGTGTGTTGGCTTGTGGAGACATCCAAGATGTATAAAGTTCTACTAGAAAACGAAGACACGAATCCAAATCGAGGGACGCAGACATTAATGCGTCGTTCCTTCTATTCTTCAAGTTGAGAACGGAGGCATTCAATTTGTCCTCGTACAAATTACACAGTGACCACAAATAAGAAACGGACAGTTGACTGTAAGAGTATTCGTTCACATTTGCAACCCTTTCCACGTTTCCTCGATGAAAGATATGGTCCATGTTTAAACCACCAATAGTACCCGTATCGTTCATAGTCTCGTATTTCCATGTGAGTAAATCCTGCGTTCCATACAATTTTTGCGAGCTAATTTTATGAACGGAGAGCTGAGGATCTCTCGGATAATGGATCACAGTGCTTGCCCTTGGATTACCGGGATAAGGAAGAAGCAAAGTTTGTAACAATAATTTTGTTATAGCCTGCACAGCCAAACTGCTCGCTTGAATTAACACGGGAATATCTTCTGTTGGTACGTTTTCGTTCTGCGAGAGATTAAGCACTCCTAAGAGGGCCATCCATATTTCTTCGAACTGCAATCGAGAAACCCAGCCTAACAGGTTTATCCTGTAGATAAACTGCTCCAAGATTTCCACCTCTTGAAGAAGATTCGATTCCGATGGTAATAACGGAAAGTGACATTTAGTTGGTCCAGTACCAATAACATTCCAATTTTGCTTCCAAACTAATGGCGGAGTTAAAATAAAAGAATTTACTAATGGTTGACGACTGATGCTTACAATCAGATCTTGTATCGTGTTGAACAAATAACGTGGAATATTTTTCGACGATTGTTCGTTTTGACACTGTTCCAACCAAACGATTAAATTGGCCATCCGTATGCAAGCATGAGCAAAATCCTTTGTGTTCTCGTCTTCCAGGGCTGGCTCTAAAGCACGCGTATCTATAACCGGCAAGGCGTCAACTGTCGTTAAAAGGTATTCTACTATCGTCGTTAATGAAGCGGCACTACTACAAACCCACGAATATCTTGCGTTTTCCCCCAAAATTTTATTAGGACCAGGATGTTTTAAAATCTCCGATGAGCAACTTAATGCTAGATCCATGTTCCTTGGTTTTAATTTTTTCACTTTTGTCTTGTCACAATGGAGCATCCAGTGCGTTAATTCTAAGCAAAGTACTGAAAATTTGGCCAAATCCTCTTCCGAGTTCTTGTCAATTTTCGTTAAATTATATTTGGCTAGTTTTGACAATGTTTTCATATATATCTTTACAGCTGGTATTAACATGAAAAGTACATCCCAATATATTGGTTCATCTAGAAGTTCATTGAACCGATGCGTATACTTCAACTCCTTCGAATTGCTATTGAATTGCGCTGGATTGTAAATATAATGCGGTTTTGGCATTAAATCGGTAACATAATGAATGTGCTCCAATAAACATTGTTTTGCGGCACTATACAACGGGCTAGCCTCGAAATTAAAATCCTTTTCGTTCTGTGCTACACCGAATTCTAATTTTTGGCACGACTCGACACTCATTCGTACGCCCAATACTATGCAAGGCTTCAATATCGCAATATTAAACTCTTTGGAAGACAGAATACCGAGACAATCTTCGAAATCTAAAACTCTTAGTAACTGCGCTGCTTCCGACAGATTACAATTAGCATTTGTATTACAACATCGTAATTTTACTTGAGACAAAAACCAATTGCGATCTAGTTGAATACTTTTCACAGAGGTTGGATTAAACGGTCTACATTGGTCGAGCTCTAGAGGGGACAAGTCATAGTACTGTACTCCTAATTTGTTCAACAAACTAACTAATCCACCGTGTTTCTTCGCGAGCTTAGTCAGCTGCAGTGTCTCCATAATCTTGATGAAGTCATCTTTCGACAACTGCTTCGACACATCTGTCGCGGACATGGTCAATAAAATTTCTACTCTTCGACTAGCTATTTTCGCTGCCATTCTGGACAAAGCGAGGTACTTGGTGGACAATAATCTCGGTATCAGTGTCAGTAAAACGGCGCCACTTTGTGAATGATGAGCACCTTCTATGCACTGTAAAATTCGCTTAACAAAACTAGGTCGAGACAAATCAGTGCATTTGGTTGCAATCGCTTGTACCAATAATCCACTGGCTGCAGAATTTCTGTGTATAGCTACAGTTAATAGATCTCTGACAGGAGATTCGATCGCACTATTTACTGTCTCTTCTGTATGATTAACTAATAACCATGTTAAAGGTTCCGCATCACACAGATTCTCACACACGTAATCGCAAAACAATATAATACCACTTTTCCTAATAATTTGAATATTAATGCTGCTGGCATGATCAATGTCCTCTTCTTTGTTCGTAGAACAATGTACGATGTATTCCGTTCGACGGGTTCCCAGTATTTTGGACCAAAAGGTCATTTCATTGTATCCTAATAAAGTCATTAGATAGGCCCACTGGCAAGTTAACGTTGGGCACTTGTTTCCGATGTTTAACATCAGATAGTTTAAATCGGCGATTGGCAGTTTTTCTTCTTCGAGAACATTACGCCCTTGTATCATTTGTATAACAGCATTTGCGACTTTGCAGTGACTTCCAGATTCAAACATGTGAATACATAACTGTAGAAAGAATGCAAACTGATGGATCAAGTAATAGTCGCTTTCCATTGATTCGGAAAATGCAATATATGGTTCACTAAGCTTATGATTGACCAATCCAAGTAGATTGTAAACTTTGCAACCTACTAAATTAATAACGTTAAATATAAATCTAGCTAATATTCTTTCTGGTGGTATTTCAGCAGATTGACTATCCAAAACATTTAAAGGATCCGTGGTGCGCGAAGAGGATTTTGGAAGAAGAAACGATTGCAATAATTCGGTCATATTCATACTCAAATCGGAAAGTCGTGCAAGCATTGCTTCTTCCTTTGAGCACGCAATCAAAGATAGCAAGACAACATTTATCACTCCTAACCATCGTTTCAGTCTCAAATTCGAAGTCTCTAAAGAATCAGGTCTAACAAGTAGTACCTTTAAAAGAGGATCAACCGGTCTAAAGACCGTAGGAGAAATAGCTGCGAATAATTTAACTAGAGCTACGTGAGCTTTCTCCGATTCTATTCGAACTTTTCCTGCCGCTAACATAGGAAGAACAGAATCCATTGTCAATCTGGACCATCTTCTCCATTTTTCCTCCCCGTTACCGTCACCACTGAATCTAGACTCCGTTAAACATAATGCCAAAAGCTCAATAATTTGGTAATACTCCACAAGACGTAGAAGCATTGAAATCAGGACTTCCCTAGTCGTCTCAAGCTCTCTTTGCTCTGTTGGGTTTGAACTTGCATTTCTAATTAAAAATACATCTTCTACAACCGGAGCAAGAGCCGGTATACAATGCGTAATCGCTGGTTGACCACTTGCCATAAGTCCATCGCATAACTGGATTATCTTTGGAATTCCTATTATTGCTTTCGAGTGATTTTTAGCGTACGACAAATGAACCAAAAAATTGAAAATCTTTGGCAATAAATCTTCCGTTTTTTGTACATGCCCTTCTTCAATAGACTCAAACTGTTTTAATACAAATCCAATGAATATTCTTTCAGAATCCAGCAAACAATAATTAACTTTTAATTGTACTAGCTGACTGAGCAGCATTAATACTTGACATTGTAGCGACACACTACTTGTTATAGTATATTGTTTCAAGGATTTTATAACCATTGGCTCAAAGAGACGAATATACGAAACCACAGAGGTTTTTTGATCGGAGGATCGCGATAAATTCTTAAAAATAGAAGAGAATTTTCTGTCACCTTTTCTACGTAACAAACCCACCCACCTGCAATAAAGAAAAACAACACATAGAAAATTTATATAAAAAATATTTATAAAAAACTTTATAAAAAAAAAAACATATGCTCCAATGATAGAGTACAAACTTACCCGGTATCTGGTTCATTTTCACCTCTACAATTGTTTCCCATAGATTTTATGGTATCTGCCATTTGCCTTGCAGGACTTTGAAAACAGTGATTATAGAATCCTTTAATGTCATCCCATAATACCGTTATTCTGTCCGACTTTTTTTGTATATCTAATTCACTCCACTGTGCATATACATTTGTACTGAATAAACACTTCAGTAATTGTTGAACACATTGAACAGTTGAAGTTGGTGAAAGTGTGACAGTGCTTTGTAAATAATATAGAATTTCTTCTGCGATTTGAGCTGCTTCATTAACAGATATGATTTCAAGAATTTGTGAAAGAACATCTAAAATTGCATTTAACAGGGACAAATACATTTCACTGGCGTGTGGTTCAAGAGTAGCTAAATAATTCAAATGTGCTGCTTTAAGAATTTCGTACATTTTCATATAATGCGGTATTGAAACAAATGCGCCCATTTGCTCTTTTCCAAATTTCATGCCTCCAATTTTTTCTCCTTTTTCTTTCAACTTCGACTCAGGCATTATTTTCTTCTTTGGGGATAACGTTTGCGTAGATGACAAAGACGATAACGTCGGTTTTGTACTAGTTTGTGTTAATTGTACATCGTCAATTATATGAACAAATATATTTAACACTCTCGTAATATGAATTAACAACAGTTCTACTTGTTTGTCCTTAAATGTGCCCCACCAAGTTTTAGTTGGGTCGCTGGGTTTAAAATTGCAAAACGCTAGACCAGATGCAAGATTGCCAGCAAGAAGTACTAAATGTTTATGCGTTGATAAGTCTAAGCTTATAGGGGATGACGATAGCAAAGGTAAGGCTAAAGATAAAAGACCGTTGCTCACAGATGATGGCATCATGTCGCTTGTAAAATTTGATTCGCTAATATCTAATCGACTACCGCTC